TTTTTTTAATTAAAGAAATATTCTACGATTTTAAGTTTTTCTTTGTGATCTTATTTTAGAAAATGGTGCATTTAAACCCACTCAATCATTTCAATGATGCATTGTAAAAAAAAAAAAAATCCGTAAAATTTATGGTAAAAAACCGGCAGCTGTGGTTGCCGGAATTTTACAGTAAAAAATACGGTAGCAACATTTTAGGTTTTACGGTTTTAACTTAAATTTACAGTTAAATACCGTAATTTCATTAACTAACATAATGTTAATATACCAACCTATTGAAGTACTGAAATCTGTTTTGTACCTTGTAATACACTGATAAGCACCAAATGCAGGTGGTGATGAGAAAGTCACATGATGAACCAAAGCCTATCACAAGCAGCTTTTAAATAATAACATATATAGAAGATGCACAGTGTTGTTCACACAGACACTAAACACCATCATGGTAACACACATGAAACTGAAATAATGCAATAAACATTCATTTAACAACATTAGGTGTAACACACAACCCTAATATACAAAACTGATAAGAAAAAGCTAAGAAACATAGTTATTTCAATAAAAAAAACATCAAATTTGAAATGTAACGCAGGGAATTCTGGGAATGTCGATTTACGTTTATTCACTGTAAATTATATGAAAAATAATTATATTTTTCACTTCCAAAAACGGTATACTACCGTAAAATTACATGTAATGTCCAATACAGTTTTTCACCGTATATAGTACTGTAGCATTTTTACAGTCTTTTACCGTTTAATTCACGGTCATTTTTTACAGTGTGAACTAAACTTTTAAGATAAAAAAAACAGTAACACTTCCTGATTTTTAACAAGTAATTTTAATAAAGAGGTACAGCTATTTCATTCACATATGAGGATGGCAAACCAATCACATTAAACGATCAATATACGATAAAACTTGTACAAAAAATTATAAAATTCAACTAAAAGTACAAATACATTTTGTTTTATACATCTAAGAGTTGTACATGTGTTTTTGGGGTTCAGTCACTTGTGTAAAGTCAACATGAACCTGCATTTGCAACCCATTTTGCTTCTGAAATGTGAATAAAGTAGTTTGGTTCTTCATATTAATGCACTGATTAATTGGGTGGGTGTTTAACAGTAGAACAGAGTCATGTCTGAATGTAACTCTGTATTGGTTTGTGATCTGCTCTCCTCAAGAGCATCTCTACGTATCCAAACGGTAACGCTGCTTTTTGTAAATATATACTTATTTGCTTATACTGGTGTAATCGTTATGCAACAGCTATTTACACTGTGTAAAAAGTTAGACTGTATTTACACTGAGAGCAAATAGTGATAGATGCTGTTTGCACAAAGTGTAAATAGAAGTAACATGCTATTTGTGCTAAAGGTGAAATACCTAAGCAATAGTGAAAACAGCCTTTGCCAACAAGTTTGGTCATTTGCACTCATTATAAATAGGGAAAAAATAGCATGTCAGATGAAATTCAAAGATTATAAATACACTTTTTTTTTCTTCAGAGTAAAGTGCAGATTGCACACAATTACACCAGGAATGCGTATTCACAGACTAAATAGGGCAAATTTAGAGTTGATGTTGACCGTAACGATAGCAGGTCTTGAGGATCAAATGTTCTGTACAGTTAACAAACATCATGCTTCTGCTGGAAGGTTAGTTCTCCATTTATTGCTCCTTATTTTAGTATCTGTGCATGGCTTTACACATGCAGTAATGTTAGCGCGGCTCTTCTCTGGTCTTAAATTGAGTTGTCTGTTTCACCCGACAGCTTCCTCTCGATTATTTCTCTCAGACCTGTTCTGAAGTGTAGGTTTGCCCCCACGATGATGTAGCCCTGTGAAATCAAAGATGGAGAATCACAGCTGAACATATCGAAATGTCTGTATCTTAAACTTATGATGTTAAAGGTTTCACCAGCCGCTTACATTGTGATACTCGACCACCTCTTCGATGAAGTCTATCCCGTCCGGTAGAGGGATCTGCACACCTCGCTTAATGTAATCTTATATGAAAACACATGACCAAGCATTTAGATGCATTACAATTTCTAATTCACATATTTTAGGTGAATATGTTTTCTCAAAAATTAATAATGGAATTTTTTTTTTTTTTTTTGAAAGAAATTGATGTTTATTCAAAAAAAAGTATTAAAAGTGACATTAAAAACATTAATAATGTATAAAGATTTTTTTATTTCAAACAAATGCTGTTCTGAAAATAATTTAATTAAAATTATGAAGCAGCAGCATTTTAAAAAATCAGCATATTAGAATGATTTCTGAAGGATCATGTGACACTGAAGACTGGAGTAATGATGCTGAAAATTAAACTTTGATCACAGGAATAAATTACATCTTATAATATATTCACATAGAAAAATTGTAATTATATTTCATAATTTTACTGTTTTTTTTACTTTTAATAAGAAAATGCAGCCATGGTGAGCATGAGAGACTTCTTTCAAAAACATTAAATACCAGCCCCAAATATCTGAACAGTGGTATACATGTCATTTAATATATAATATATTGTTTCACTTACTGTTAATGAGAGGCACCACTGATATCTGCAGCATCGTTTTCAGCGGACCTTGCAGTGGAATAAGCTGAAGGAAAAATATTCATTACATTGACTATCTGCTCTTGATCAGTCTTGCATCGAATATATTTGTGTGGAAACGCAAACTTACAGCCAAAGACTCGAGAGCAGATTGATTGGAGAAAATTTTGAACCTGAAAACAGATTCTCAGTTCAAAATCAATGTTAGTCAAATGTCAAAAAGAGTTCAGTGTTTGCACGTCATATTCACCTTCTCAGATCTAAATGGATGGCCAAGCGCTTGCCCTTCATCGATACTTTTGCGTTGAACTTGCCTTCCTACAAACAAGGTGAAATTTGGTGCATTTCTAGCATTCTTTCATTCTGAAACGATATATATTGTGTATAATTCTCACCATGGTCATGCTGCTGAGCTGGACTGCTGGTTTTCCTGGAGGAAGAACCAACACTTTGACGTTACAGTTGACGGCCACACTGGCACCAGAGGTCTTGATAGTGGAGCGAGGAGGAGATGTGACCTCTAACTCCAGCGACAGAGGATGCTCCATGAGAGCCGGGTTCTGATAGAGAATAGATGGTTGCCGGGGTTGCTATGCGACTGCTGTACATACACTGAACAAAATTATAAACGCAACACTTTTGTTTTTGCCCCCATTTTTCATGAGCTGAACTCAAAGATCTAAGACTTTTTCTATGTACACAAAAGGCCTATTTCTCTCAAATATTGTTCACAAATCTGTCTAAATCTGTGTTAGTGAGCACTTCTCCTTTGCCGAGATAATCCATCCACCTCACAGGTGTGGCATATCAAGATGCTGATTAGACAGCATGTTTATTGCACAGGTGTGCCTTAGGCTCAGTGTATATACATCTTAGTTTTGCTCACCAGCATCATGATTGTCCCCAAGTAGGTGGTCCTGAGAAGCATCTCTAAGTCCTTGGGCATCTGAAATGAGTCGAGCAATAGTTGTTTTTGTCTTATTTTTGTATCATGCTCTTGAAATGTATTAGACGGCATCTTACTCGTTCATTTGCTATCTGCATTTGGAACAGTCCACCTTTGAAGTAAGAGAAGAGGCCGCTGTCAAAGAAGTACTCGGAGAGAGAGAGATAGATCATACGATCATACTCTCTCACTACCGGATTGACAGCGTAGTTCACGAGTGTCTCGTTCTCATTCTTCAGGTCGTAAAACATGCCCTGTGTAGACGAGAGAGCGAGAGAAATACAAAAAAATAAATAAATCACACTGACTCATAAAAAAACATATATACAGTGGGTACTCAGTATTCAGTATTCAGACCCCCTTAAATTTTTCACTCTTTGTTATGTTGCAGCAATAAAAAATTGTATTTCATTTAAACCTTAAAATTCTAAAATATAGCCTATATTAGAAAATGTACTTCAAGGGGCAAGAAAATACATTTCCGGTCTTAAAATACATTTTTGGGTGAGCACAAAATTTATTTTTTTGTTTTGGACAAGTTAAGATTTAAATTATTTAATTCATAGATTTATATGAAAACTTTTTAAAGTTTTACTATTACTATATTAGTAATATATTTTGGCCATTTTTTTGTAGATTTTAATATATATATGTGTGTGTGTCGTGTGTGTGTGTGTGTGTGTGTGTGTGTGTGCTGAATGGTGAGTATTAATGTATTTTGAACATTATCATTATAATCCTATGCAGTTTTTTGCACATGTACTATGGTAACACCATGGTTTTTTTTTTTCAATGACCAATATGGTGCTGATATATAATATATTTAAAAATGGCAAATAATACACTATACCATTCAAAAGTTTGAGATCGGTTTAAGATTTTTGTAATGTTTTTGAAAGAAGTCTCTTATTCTCACCAAGGCTGCCTATAAATACAGTAAAAACACTAGTACTGTTAAATATTTATTCTAATTTAAAATAAGTTTTCTATTTTAATATATTGTAAAATGTAATTTATTCCTGTGATCAAAGCTGAATTTTCAGCATCTTTACTCCAGTCTTCAGTGTCACATGATATGCTGATTTGCTGCTCAAGAAACATTTCTGATTATTATCACTATAAAAACAGTTGTGCTGCTTCATATTTTTGTGGAAATTGTGATACATTTTTTTATATGAATAACATGTCTTTGCTGACCCAAAAAACTTGCATATAAAGTTCAGTAACTAGTCATCTATCACTCACCCTAAAATCCATATCAAGGCTAGTTTCTGTCACCACGGGGTCATTTAGCAGTGAGTAATCGATGCCCACGTAACTGTCCACCTCCGTGCGCACTGAAAAACACATTCCCGTAAACACACGAGTCTGCCAGATCAGTATATCACAACAGTTTTACAAATATCAGCATTGTTCTCTAACCTGGGATTGTTTCCAGTAGCTGGTTAATCAGAACTAGTGCAGCATGGTTCAAGGCAGGACAAATCTGATAGAGACATATATGCAAAAGTTGATTAAAATCTGTTACAATGTCATTAAAGTTACAATATCTTTATGTATGTGAGCACCAGTACAAGCATCAGCTAATCCTGACTAGAAAACAAGCAAACAAACCTGTTTATTTAAGACGAAGCGCATTCCTGTAGTCAGGAACGTTCCGATAAAATCATAAACCCTCCTGTGGGAATATTTAGAGACTCATAAGAATATGCTATGTAACAGACAGACATGCAAAATGCTGAGCAAACAATGTATTTCATTCATAAAGAAGCTGTACAGTTAATCAAATCATGTCATGTGCAATAAACATGCTCAACATTGAATATAGAGTGGTGTACCCGAGGGTCCCGCTAAATCTGGCCCTCATCTTGGTGATGAATGCATCACAGGTGACGTTGGAGATCTTGAGACGTCCGTCCTTGTCTTTGATGAGATGGAGGACTGTGAAGATGTTGACACCTTCAGCGGAGGCGTTGATGGCTCCTTCATCATAACTGATGGAGAGAAAGGGGGCACCTCATCAAGGATGCATTTATTTGATGAGAAATACAGTAAACATTGTGAAATATTATCACAGTTTAAAGTAACTGTTGTCTGTTGCAATACATGTTAACATGTAATTTATTTCTGTGATCAAAGCTGAATTTTCAGCATCATTACCCCAGTCTTCAGTGTCACATGATCTTCAGAAATCAATCTAATATGCTGATTTGCTGCTCAACTGATTATTATCAGTTGAAAACCATTGTGTTGATGCATTTTTGTGGAAACTATGATATTTGTTTATATTAAGGATTATTTGATTAATAGAAAATTAATAAGAACAGTACTTATTTGAAACTGAAATCTTTTGTAACATTTACAATGTCACTTTTGACCAATTTAATGCGTCCTTGCTGAATAAAAGACTCCTTTCTTTCAGTTGCTTGTGACCTCAAATCATAAACGTCTTTTGCTTGCTTTCTGCAGATGTGTTCTTCAGACTCACAAGAGCCAGTACAGGATGCGTCTCTGGAAGTTGAGGGTGATGGAGGAGTTCTGCACCTCGAACAGCAGCCCCACATCAGGCTGGAAGCGCAGGTCAGACGTCAGGTTCAGCTCCGTGATCTTCACACTAAACAAACATCAGTGCAGAATTAGAGCCGGCGGGTATGGAAGCCCGTTTCCGCCAACAAAAAAAATAAAAATTGCGACTTTATCTCACAATTCTGATTTTTTTTCTTCTCAGAATTGTGTGATATAAACTCGCAATTCTGAAAAATAAAGTCAGAATTGCGAGATATAAACTCGCAATTGCGCAGAAAAAAAAGTCAGAATTCTATATCTCGCAATTCTGAATTTCTAACTCGCAATTGTGAGTTTATATCACGCAATTCTGACTGATTGTGAGATAAAAAGTCGCAATAACCTTTTTTTATTTTTTTATTCAGTGGCGGAAACTGGCTTCCATAGGCGGGAGGTTTTATGAAGTGACTCATTAGGTTCGTTCAGCCCTTGTAGTTGTCATTCTAGTCCATACTTAGTAGGCCTTTTTAATGCCACTGACACCTAAAGGGCACCATCACCCCTTTATTAGTTTCTGAATGGTGCTCAACCCTGACGCTTACTGTGCGTGTGAATGACCACATGAGGGCGCTGTGTGCAACATGACTATATATGACAGTGGAAATCCAGTAGATAAAGGAAGGTCAAACATACTCTTTGATGGTGTACTGGAAGCGGCCCTCTTTACCACGCATCTCTGGCATGGTGATGTTACTCAACTCTTCTTCCACGAACTTCTTTGTCTCGGCCTTCACTGTAAAGACGTCAAGCAGAGGCCAGTCTGAGACTTTTAAAGACTCCTAAATGATAGTTGCATTTTAAGTCTGAATGTTGGGCTTATTGTCAGATATCTTACGCATCTCCAGTCCTCTGTTGGTGATGCGGATCTTGCATCCAGGCGGTTCTGCTAAAGTCATTGTGATTAATGAAAGAAGAAAGATGACAGAGACTTTCAGCAGTCCCATGATTCCTCAGCAGACAATGACCACATGAGGGCGCTGTGTGCAACATGACTATACATGACGGTGGAAATCAGATAAAGGTCAAACATACTCTTTGATGGTGTACTGGAAGCGGCCCTCTTTACCACGCATCTCTGGCATGGTGATGTTACTCAACTCTTCTTCCACGAACTTCTTTGTCTCGGCCTTCACTGTAAAGACGTCAAGCAGAGGCCAGTCTGAGACTTTTAAAGACTCCTAAATGATAGTTGCATTTTAAGTCTGAATGTTGGGCTTATTGTCAGATATCTTACGCATCTCCAGTCCTCTGTTGGTGATGCGGATCTTGCATCCAGGCGGTTCTGCTAAAGTCATTGTGATTAATGAAAGAAGAAAGATGACAGAGACTTTCAGCAGTCCCATGATTCCTCAACAGACCTGAAAATCAACAATTTAGGTGTTTAATTTAATTTAAGTATGCAAGAGACATTTTGAGATAAGGCTAAGGTCAACCAAACTGTCAAATTATTTTTCAAAGTCGTGACTAAAACAAAGATTACTAAAGTATGTTTTACAAGAAAATACTATTTTAGTTTTTCTACTGTAGTAATGTTTTTGTAGAAATAATTTGTGAAATGTACTATTAATTTCTGAGTGAAATTTATTTCAAAGTAAATTCTACATCATTTTTTTTCAGTCCAGGATCAAAAAGGTTAAAAAATAATGAAAATAATAATGAAAAAACTTTATTTATATTCCCAATTTCCATGTCTTTTTCATGAAAGTGAATAAGAAGAAATAGAAGTCAAGTTTAAAATAATTTGACATCATAAGTTTATATAATGGACTAAAATGGAAAGAAGAGTAATTAAAATGTATTAAAATGAAGTACAAATAATACAAAATAAATTGAACTTAAATTGAAATAATATATTTTTAAAAAATATTAAATAAAAAAATAATGTAAGTCAATTCAAATCGAATACTAGCGCACCAAAAACCCTTCCTCGTGCATTAGTTTTAAAGATCAGATCAGAGTTACTCTATCTGCCCATTGATGGTGCAGCTTTTCTCTCCTGCACCAAAGAGCTTCTCCAGAGCGGCAGCTGAATATATAGAGACAGCAAGCAAATAAGAGAATGATCTTGCCTTTCAACCGTATAGAAGAAAATATCCAGTGAAAGAAGTCCAAGTGTGTCGTCTCTCGTCTCTGTAGCAGTGTGTGTGAAGGGTCTGTGTCTGCGTGTGTGTGTGTTTATAGTGCAGAGGAGGAGAGACTGCGTGCCTCGTCTGAATGAGAGAGAGACGGACAGAGAGACAGAGAGACAGAGAGAGCGAGAGACAGAGAGAGGGAGAGGGAGAGAGAGACACATAGAGAGAGAGAGACAGAGAGAGAGAGAGACAGAGAGAGAGAGACTCTATCCTTACAGCATCCCCAATGAGAACATTATAATGTGGTTTCTAGGGTGTTGCTGTTGAGAGTTTTTAGGCAAAGTGTTCTGGGCTGTTGCATTGCTGTTCTGGTGTTTTTCGTTCATATACTGTTCAAATGGTTTGGGATGAGTTATATTTTTAGTTTTGTTTAAATCACTAAACCTAAGTATGATGAACAGTAAAAGTGTAACTTAGCAAGCAATATCCAGTACTGTAAAAAAAAAAAATAATTGTTAAAACTATAAAATAGTTTTGCTTACACTGGGATGCAGCACTTTAATTGTTTATGTAAATGCGCTTTTAAATAATAATTAGTAAATAATAAATACATTAAATTTAAATAATTTATCATGAATACATTTAATTTTAAATAAATAATTTAAATTAATAAATTATAATTTTGCACTAATTTTAAATAATTTAAAATAAACAAATAAATAAATTATAATTTTACATCTATTTAAAATATAAAATATATTTAAATCAGTTAAATGATAAATAAATTAAATTAATTAATTAATTTTAAATTAATTAAATTTTAATTTTAAATAAATATATTATAATACTGTATAATTATTAATAATAATTAATGTATTATCAATGTATATTAATTATATTCTGTTTACTATTTAATATAATAACTATTCAGATGAATTCAATTATATTAAATACAAGAACATCTGAACATTTAATTACTACTCAGTATAATACTGCAGAGACTCAGTGGCCAACAGCTTAAATGAGGACACTCTCTTGGAGGTCGTGTGTGTGTGTGTGTGTGCGAGTGTGTGTGTGTGTGTGTGTGTGTGATGCTGGAGGCAGCTGTCTTTAATCCCCCAGATATAACCAACAGGAACAAACGGGATCAAAACAAACCATCCCGCAAATGGGCTTTATAAGGTCATTGACCCCAGGGTCCGGCTGATTTACCTCGCTTCAGAGAAGACGGTCTCAGGCAGGCGGAAAGATTTCACAAATGCTTCATTTATTTTGTATTAAACCCTGTGGGCTTGGGAGCTTTTTTTTTAAGCGTCAAGAGGTAATTACTCCTCTGAGACAATGTCTTTCAGCAAACGCATTGTCCGTATGCAATAATAGGTGACCTTTGACACGAAATGATGCTGAATGAAAGCTATATGTCTTTACATTTCAGGAAAGACGAACATGTTCTTTGTGAAACAGAAGTGTTTTTGCAATGAATCAAGTTTTTTGGGGAACAAGAAATAGCCATAACATGAGAATCAGTGCATGTTAGTGGAAATCGCTTACATTTGGAATGTTCCTCACAAGTGTTTTCAGCCATAAAGTGGTGTTTGCTTTGAGAAGGCACTGGGGTTACTACAGTTCACAAACACAAGGTTGCTTCTTTAGGTCAATACCCCAAACATAAGAACTAAAACAATGTTACACAAGCAAAATCAACACCAAATTTACATTCAAAATATGTTTTGTTGACATTGGGACAACACAGAAACTGCCTGGTTATGTAAATGTCCTTTTAAAGGGGTCATATGATGCGATTTCAATTTTTCCTTTCTCTTTGGAGTGTTACAAGCTCTTGGTGCATAAAGAAGATCTGTAAAGTTGCAAAGACTAAAGTCTCAAATCCAAAGAAATATTCTTTATAAAAGTTAAGAGTCAGTCACGCCTACCTAAAACGGCTCGTTCTAACACACCCCACATGTCTACGTCACGATGTGAGAAGATTTGCATAACGCCGCCCAAACGTTCACGCAAAGAAAGAAGGCGTAACTTATATTCTCGCTGTAGTATTGTTGTTGCCACCACCGCCATGTCGTGAAGGCGCTGTGTGTTTCGTTGTGAAAGCGAAACTACTTTGTTTGGCCTTCCAAAAGAGGACACGACTAGAAATCAGTGGTTAAGTTGTATTTACAACACTGTTCCAGAACACTTCAACCCAAATATCCAGATGTGTGCAGCACATGTTATGGAGGACTGTTTCCTGATCCTGGTAGAGTAGACTACAATGCCGGCTGTTCTGACTCACAGACTGTAAGTACATTTTCATTATTTAAAGAGTTTGTCACTGATGATTAAAACACGAGTTTTGAGCAGTGTAGAGTAG